TAGATATTGTTTATGTCTGTGTGTCTGTTGATGGCTAATTTATCAGAAGAGCCAGGCTTCTAGAAATTCTCTAGCACCAAGTCCAAAAACACCTTTCACAAGTCCTTGTGAAAAACTGGTACAGGGATGCTATTTGCACAGTTGAGTTAAGAAGAGTTCTGACTTCCTGCTTTATTGCACTCTTGGCATGTTTGGGGAAATACTGTTGGTGAGAGAAAGACAACTCCTTCATCCCTCTTCTCAACTCCCCGTTTCATTTTTATCACTGGAAATGGCAGAGAAGCTCATCGTTATCAGCCTCTCCCCTCATCACTACTGTGATTGATGGGAATTTTCTAAACTGTGGGGATGCTCAGGATATTCCCATATTCTGAAGGTGCCTAACCAAGACATTGCTATTCAGCAGTGTGTCCGAAGAGAGCAAGAAGGATGGGAGGGGGGGGTCAGCAAAGCGGCAAATTTTACATTGGGATAATATTCTTTCCATTCAAGGACAAGCGGAAAGCACTTTAACTCATCCCTGAAGAAAAGGCCCTGTGAAGTGGGAAGGCAACAACACCCCCCCTCCCTGCCCCCACCCTTTCTGTCATCTCCAGGGACACATCACATGCTGAGCGAAGGTCACTTTTGTCTTCCGCAGTTCACTGAGTTTATCTAGCGGATTTCTCAAAGGTTCTTTTGTTCCGCCAGGCATCTGGGACTGGCACTGGCTTGACTTCTGCAATAAATGGGGCCCTTACCGCTTCGTCATTCAATTTCTCCAGCCTTATAATTCATCTCTCTTCATTAAGGAAAAGCAAACCTACCACTTATCACTTGCCCAAAGAGTTCCTCTGGAGTGTCACCGAAGAATGGGACGCAGCCGATCAGGAACTCGTAGAGTATTATGCCCATGGCCCACCAGTCCACTGGCTTGCCGTAACCTTGGATCAGGATCACTTCCGGAGCAATATACTCAGGAGTACCACAGACCTACAAAGGGACAGAAAACAGCATTCCGCCTGTTTCTGTGAACAAGGAGGTTTCTTCTTAGGGATGGATGGGAACCTTGTCTCCCCCTTAAACCCAGAAAGGGCAGAATCAAGAGAGTGAGGACTCCTTCAGGTGGGTTCGTGGCTTCCAATGTTTGAAGGCCATTTCCTTTGTACCCAGTAAAATAGTCTAGTAGGTTTCACTAGAAGACATGCATGCTCCTTGCCATAAAGATCATACCTGTTTATCCACAAACTCTCGGGTGTCCTTCTCAATGTGGCCCTCATAGAGATTGGTAGTCATGTTCATCAAGCCAATCTTGGACAGGCCAAAGTCGGTCAGCTTGATGTGGCCCATAGATGTGATGAGCAAGCTGGAAGAAAGAAAGAAAGAAAGAAAGAAAGAAAG